GCCAAGGTCGGCAAGGACTGACAATATTCCGCTCTCAATCTATCCTCATCGTTTCAAAGAGGGAGCCCCTCTTTCTAACCCTGACCACCCACAAGGTGTCACTCCGCTCCCCGTTTTTCTTCTTGTACTGCATCAGCATGCCCATAAAATTTCAAGGATAGCAGTGGCGTTTCTTGTCTGTCCGTCTGGGATCAGGTACCATGAGCTGCCCCCATCGGACATCAAACAGGCCCTGATTCTTGCAGGTGCTGTCTGTAGGCCACAGCCATTCGAGAAAGCAAGAACCAGCATACGGGTTTCTTCTTCACTTTAACTTTCGATACTGTTCGTAAGAGGGCTGTTGAAACGGATGTCGGACCGCTCACAGCTATTCACAACGACGGGCGTGCGTGACGTGTACGACCCAGCCGACATATTCGGCAAGCGAAGTTTCTTCGAGGACCTAGGCACGCACGCCTAGGGCTTACGGCCTAGTTCATTGTTTCAGGACCTAGTCTCCAGTTGTGCTTCGAGCTCAAGCGGAGGCATTGAGATGGTACAGACGAGGGGCGCGGATGAACCACAAGGGATCTACTACAATGTCAGTGCCTTACAGCAAATCTCACAGCCTTTGCCAAGAGTGCTGGACATCACACTGGACATCCGGTTTGCTGCAAGGCTTGGCAAGTTGCATCTGGCTGCAGCACGCTCCTAAGAGTGCTGACCGAGCAGCAGGTCTTACGGCTGACCAGTCTTGCATCAGGTTGTTGATATTTGCTGTTTCTCACGCGGCGGGCGATCCGTCCCAGTGCTGAGGGTCAGAAAGAGAAAGCATTGCACTTCCTGCAGCGAACAGGGCTGCCACAGCGAGGCACGAAACGACTCCTGTATTGGTTTAGGGTGCGCCACTCGAACATGCATCCTGAGAATCACGACACTGCACCCACTTGATCCTTGAACCATGATATAGGAGAGAGGAAAGCCAGGAAAGCTAGCCCCGCTGAACAGCACTTTTCGATTGGTCATCTTGGCATTCTCGAGGCATCCAAAATGTGATGTCCAGGCTTAGGTTAAAAAGTCTGACATCCTTCGTTGCAGCTTCCGGTAACTGGCCGAGAGATGACCTTTGCAAGCTTCAATGCCTACCGCCAACTTGCAAGGCTTGGAAACACCGAAAGTTTTACGTCGGTCCGAAGTTCTGGACAGAGGTCCTGCGGGATTTGCGTGTGTGTGTGTGTGAGAGAGAGAGAGAGCAGGATAACTGCGAACTCGGCGAGGGACTTCCCTCGATGCTCATGCGTTCATAGGTCATGGTGGCGAGAGAGGCGACTCCCTTGCACAATGGCACGCCGCTCGGGGACAGTAGGCAAAGGTGTTTTTCCTCCTACAGTTACTGTAGTCGAGCAGCCACAGCGTTCGTTAAAATTTTGATGTGCTAGCACTTGAGCCTCGAGACAGAATGTTGCACGCGCTTTAGCATCTAGGTGTCCTCCCCCCACCCCCCCCCCCCCCCCAAACAATTTCGGGGCCCTCTTTTAACGGGAAGGCCCCCTGAAGGAGCACAAGCCCTGGCCGGGGGGGGGGGTGCCGGAAGAATGCGGGCAACGAAACAATATGCTAAACTGGAGGGCAGCTCGTGGTACTCCCTTGGAAAATTGTTTGGGGGCTTGTTTCGTAGTGAAATTTCAAGGGAAATTATGCAAAACCCGGCTCCAGGAACTTCTGGACTCTCAAGCTGGAATTGGGCCATGCCTTGATTCTTGAGGGTCTGGCTGGCTAGAGTCAATGCGACATGAGAACATAATGTTCATCCCAAGATTGCCGGCTGGCGGGGGGGGGGGGGGGGGCGAAGGGTTCAGGCGAGGTCCCGTCGCACATTGTCCGGGTGCCGTAGGAGAAAACATGCGGTGCACTTTGAACGTATTTTATCATCAGGTGTCGGGCCCTGGGAGGCTAACCTTCTTTGCAGACCCGGGGGTCTACATCCTGTGGCATGACGTTCGACATCATGGTGCATCATGCGCACGCCCAGGTTTCTTGGTGAGCTTTTCCTGCAAAGTGCGAAACTTCGAGATGCGGCTGGGCTCCTGTGGAACACATGTCTCACTGTCTACCAGCCACGCATGACTGAGCCACTGCCGAGGCATTTGGGATCAAAAGTGTCTCAGGAAGACAGATAGGAAGACTGGTAGGACTCCACAAACGGAAGCTGCAACAGTGGGCCATTCGTCGTCTGCATTATCCTCCATGCCGCCACGAGGGTGGCCTGCTAAGAAGAGGCTGCACCACGTGGCTGGGAAGAAGAACGCTTATCAGGTGGCGAAAACTGGATTGATAGGGGGACTGTTTGGACCTGCCGGTGGCCACGTTCCCGCGGCACAGGCAGCCAATGATCAGCGCCATCAGCATCTTCCAGGAGCCCATCGGGATTCTGGGTGTGGCACAGGCGTCACGGGCAAGGTCGGCATTGCCGGCATCGAACACGATCTTCGGATCCCATCCAGCACCAAACTGACAGGTCACCTGACAAGGCTCCAGGAGGAGCTAAAAAGCTGTATTTCGGGTCGGCCATTGGTGCCATCTTGTCGCCTGCTTGGTGAACCCATGCAATGTGAGGTGCCACGCACAAGTCTTTGGAGTCGGAGTTCTGCTCGCATGACATGTTCCAAGGGCGCCGGGGTCGACACTGGGCCATCTGGCAATTCCGACAAGAGAGACGTCAAGCCTTGTTCCAATTCTCGATTTGAGGATGAGGATGATCATTTGGGGGACTTCGTCGCTCACAGTGCTCACGATTTGCCCCAGTGCAAGCATGCATGGAGGCCTTCGAGTGAGCAGTTGTGCATGCAGAACCGTGCAGACCCGAAAATAGATCTTGTAGGCTGGCTATGCTTAGTTTAGATACATGTTGTCATGCAATGGCAATGTAAATTTTTTTACTCAGAGAGCCTTCGCTATCATACTCGAAATCGTTTCGTATGAACTCATCCTAGTGGTAATGTGTGGTGCTTTGTTCCTTTCGCACGGGCCGTACATGCTTGTTTGCACCCGACCATGCTGCCGCTGTATGCTTCTGAGAATCTGCGTGCACTTATGTGCACTTCGACGCAGAAACAAGTTCACGCCCACATATCAAGCCGAGAGTGCTCAGTACTCTGGCGACGAACGAACACAGGTGAACCCGCAGCGTGCCTACTGTAACATGTGGATCGGCTTAATTGCGGACGTGCGCCGAATGCAAGACAAACATATATGCGAATGTGTTTGTGTGCGTAGATGTATATTATCTGCATGTGTGTGTGTATGACTATTCTGCAGAAAATGGAGCAGGAGCTCTTTGAGTCAGAAAACCGACAGAGCAACGAAGGCAAACCACTTCGACTGTGCAAGGCCGTGAAGACGGCATGTCACAAGCGTCAATGACGCGAGATTTAACTCGTCAGAAGATACTGCCGTGGCGTACCCATGATAGAGCCGGGACTTGATTTTGGCTCTCACTTCGGCGCCGTGCGAGTCTGTGCGCACCCAGCTACCACCACAGTCCGTGCGTGCTTCGTTTCAGGAACGGTTCCGGAGACGTCGTTTTCAGTGGATGTCGCAGAACCTTGGCCGTCTCGAAGCGTCGATGTTCGTACTCTGCAGCTACGATTTGAAGCTGGAAAGGAATCGTCCGAGTCGAACAGGTTAATAGATATAATAGCATGGTCCTTGTGAGGTGCTGAAGCGTTGATGATGTTGTCGCATGTTCTAGCCGTCGGGCCGTGGGTCGGGTGCCAGATTCCTCGCACGTTCCTTGCGAAGCATTGCTTTTGCCCTGGAAATCGTGCTCCTGCCTTCCGTGCGCGTTCCATGGTAGAAATCGTGCTTCCACCTCAGTCCCGTAAAGTAGTCGTGCGCATGCCCCTCGTGAAGCGCAGAACGTTGCAGACCATTGCAGAACATTACAGAACATTGCAGAACATTCGCATGTTCCTCGTAAAGTGTGCTAGAAGCTCAACCGTGAGCTGGGCTGGACTGTTTGCTTGTTGTTGTGTTGACAACTTTCCAAGCTCAACCCACATCAGTTTTTGCAGAGTCTTTGGGCTGCCCCAACAAACGAGCCTAACATGGAGACATAGGGACTTGGCATGCTCTGGCTTGGAGAAGCCATAGCTTTTGCACAAGCCGGCACTGTGTGTCTGCAGCAGAACTGCTCCACAGCAATGGTTTCGCGGGCTGTAGAAAGGGACTGTTCAGCTTCAGCTGCTTGAAGGAATACCAGCAGCTTGACATCACCGCTGCAGCCTTTGACGCGTGCGATCCACCCACATGGACCGCTCCACAAAGGCCAGCGACAGCATAGTCAGCCTTGTCAATGATTTCTCCTGAAGCCTCGGCAAGGCAAGGTGCGTCTGGAAGAGGCTTCGCAGACCTCTTCTGCGGCGGAGCTATTGTCAGGGACTTGCACAGTGTTTGCGCTACTCCTGCACACTGTTGTGTTTTCTTCCGTAGCACTGAGTCACAGAGACTCAGAGGGGTCTGACCCGAAGCATTGGTGTTTAACCCGCCCCAGAAACACCAGGCCTTTGGAGGATGGTTTCTTGGACAAGGAGGACCTGCGCTGTGGTTCTTGCGCGAACATAGCGAGTGAGTTTGTGAAATTGGTGTTGCTCTCCATTTGAGTTGCTGTCCCAACAGTTACAACAGAGAGTTCGACTTGCAGGATGGACGAAGGCTCGAGGAGGTGATTTGGATGCGTCCAGGCACAGTGGGGGGTCGCTTCCCATTTCATTTTGTGATCTGCTTTCTGTAGTTTGGTCAGTCTTGTGCTGGCCCGCAGCTTTGTGTCCGGGGCTACAGGTACCATCATTGAACTCACACTTGCTGGGGCCGCATTCCATTGCACATCTGTAAGTAGACAAGTCTGTGCCTGAAAACAATTTACATGTATTCAAAGTAGCTCACCCGCTCAACATGCCGAGCGATGCCATCCGGCACACTGGTGCTCCGCCTTTTGGACTAGCCTCGTTCTCTGTTGCCCCATGGGCGGAGCACATGACGTAAGACGAGAACAACGAGAGAATGCCATTGACAGGTGCTGCTCAGAGCTTTCGTTGCATTATCAGAGTTCTGCTTTGCACGGAAGTGTGTGCAAGGGCCTGCGTGAGACGTGCATGAGTATATAAGGACATTGAAGCAGCTGATTTTGTGGCCTTGGACTTTGAATTCTCTGGATTGTTTCTGGATGAGGGTAGATCCAGACATTCTTCTTTGGAAAAGTATTTCGCCAGGTGCACCAAGAGCATTCCCCAGTTCTTGCCACTACAAATAGGGATATGTTGCGCTCGGCAGCGCATGCAAGACAAAGTCTGGGAGTTGCGGTCGCACGAGTTCAACCTTTGGCCGAGCACGCGACAGCTGTTTATGTCTGACTTCAAGTCGTTGCGATTCCTGCGAGAAAACGGCTTTGACTTTAACTCCTATCTGGAGTTTGGGTTTTCGTATTCTCGACTGCCGGAGGCTCACCAGTCAAAGAAGGCACGTAAGTTCAATGCCAATCAGCTGGTACAGGCGCTGCGGGATTGCAAGGTGCCTTTGGTGGTTCACAACGGGTTCCTCGATCTGCTTCATCTCTTCCATAGCTTTATTGGCGACTTACCCAGTGAGTGCTGCGACTTCTTTCAAAGCTGGGTCCAGCATTTCCCAAGTACATTTGACACGAGGCTGCTGGCACAGGAAGGCCAGTACAAGATCCTGAGAGGCAGTGGACTCACGCTGGAGGCTCTGCATGGGCAGCTGAGGGAGCTCGGACGTGTGCGGATCGAATGCCATGGGCCCCTCGAGGAAGATGGGCCATGTCACGGGTCCTCGGGGCACGACGCCCTCCTCACAGCCAAGGTTCCACAGATGCAATCTAAAAAAAAAACACTGAAAAACTCCCCAGATTATAAAGCTTGAAAACGCCATCTGAAGCCTTGCATAGCCTTGCTAGCTCTTGCTGATTGCTCCTGTGGAGGTTTTTACGTGCTTCCGATTTCTAGACTGACTGACGCCTGCAGGTCTAGGCTTGTTTTGTGCCGCAAGAATGCCGAGTGGTGACACCCTGCTTACAGCCAAGGTGTTCATCTGGGAGCTGGATTGCTGGATTCATGCAGACTCCATCGAAGCTGAGCAGAAGAAGCGACGGAGGAAGCGCGTCAACGAGCTGGAGAATGTGCTGCTTGCGATGAGCTGGCAGGAGGTGCACAAGCTCGCCGACAAGGTGGGGGTGAGCGTATATCGCTCCATCGTTCATGGCCGGATTGGTGGGCCGCACGGTGCCCGACGTCCATTAGCTGAAATACGCACTGCCATAGCCGCTGTGCAGTACGACGCTTGTCTTATAAACGCTTGCCAGACTCAACTGTTGCTGTCCCTCGAGTAACCAAGTCAGAGCCCACGACACCCGTGATATGGCCAAGCCAAGGCCAAAGAATTGGATGAGCAAAGGTGTCAAGAGGAGGCCTGCTTGAGCAGCAGCTCATCCTGCTTTTGGCTGTCATTGTTCCTGTATTGTCTGTTGTTCTGATGGTGCTTTATCATGGGTATTGGTGTTGGAGCGTTTTGCTTGCTTACTTGATCGTGTTGAAATGCGCTTTGCCCGCCACGACCCGACACATACTTGACCTTCAGTTGTTCTTCTGTGCTACTTCTCTTATTGGCCTGTCCTTACCTCATGCTCTTTGACTTGTCGGAGGCTGTCCGCGATCCTGGCATCAGCCTTTTGAGTGAGCCTGGTCCTGCTCTGACACCAGATCTGCTCGTCTCACACAAGGCACATGGCAAATTCCTTCCGACCGTTGCAGCTTGTGGTGAGCCTGCAACAAATCCACTGCGCTAAGCACCAACGCAGGTCTGCAAGAGATTTCGCAACTGCCTGGCTGTCGTGGGTGCTGGCCTTAGCAGCAAATGTTTGACAGCCGCTGACAGCCTTTTGCATCCAATGCCCAGCTTCGTTGCACCCCAGCAAACAACTATGTGTATTCAGGATGCGGTTGGGAGCAGCCAAGGTGCTTCTCCTGGCCATGTCTGTTTGGATGACCCTGTGCTGGGCGTGGGCTAGCAGACGCTGAAAAACGAGCACACGCGCGAAGTGCTGCACAGCGGTTGTGGTTTGTTCTGGTGCAGGGTTGCATTTGCGCCCTTGACATCTGTTTAAGTGCCTTTGCCATCCTCGCCTATTGGGCAGAATGTGCTCAGTATGTTTCAATCGATCTGCAGGCGATGCCTTCACGGCAGAGAGGAGGCCGCTTGTAAGCTCAAGCTCCAGTTTGAACTGCTAGGATATAACTGCTAAGGTTTTGACAACAGTAAGCAGTCGAACACGCTCCGCCATCCCAAGCTATTCCAAGTAAGCTACCTGGTCTGGCTGAATAGAGCTTCTTGTGGCTGTGCACAGTTGGGCCTCTGTGTTCTAATTCTGAACCGGTGGCCTTTGGACACTCACATGTGCCGTAGTCGTGCTCGTACGTTGAAGATTCTCGTGTTATGCCCGGCAGGGCAGCCCTGAAAGGTTCAGTCAGGCGAGCGCTGCCACTGGCCTGACGCGTAGACCGCATGTTAATGTTCACTGGCAAGACGACTATTGTGTGCCAGACTTGCACAATAGAGGCATCCTGGCGCAGCATGACCGTTGCAATTACCGTAGATAGACCTGGATGGGCTGGTCTCATTCAGCCGGACAGCTTTAGCTTGCGTTCAGCGTACGTCTTGCTTCGTACACTGCAGGCGCTTACAGCTTCACCTTTGTGTGGCTTGCATACAGCAAGCCTACCTCAACTTGGCGGGGAAAAAGAGGTTGCTCCCCGATTCAGGGTCAATCGCCGATTCGGAACGGAAGACTCAGAAACTCTGAAGCAGCACTTCAGAAACTCTACCATCTCCACTATTCTGCAGGTCAGGGTGCTGAATCGCGCCGCATCCTGCCCTAAATGCCGGCCTTGTCACAAACAAATCGAATTCTTGAAGCAGCCATCTGTCCCAGCTTCTAAATCAGCGCTTGATGCCTGCCGAATCAGAGATGTCGAATTGTGAGTCAGAGTTAGTTTCTGAGTCATGGTTTCCAAATCAGTTTGCGACCTTGCATCGCACCCGAATCAGCCAGCCGACGGATGGTGTGAACGTCTTGAGTCATGAGGTCAAATGGTGGAAGCTGTCTGCTGAAAATGGGGACAGCGACGCCATGATGCGTTTGTCGCACGCCATGAGCTCAGATGATGTCTCAAGTCTAGGGAAAGTTTTTCTTCGAACCCGACATGTTCGACTGGTGTCTGACAGTTGTCAGTTTGCACATCATGCCGGTCCCTGATGGCCATGTGGCTCGAAAAGTTGGTGCTCTGCACTGATAGCAACTCCCGCGCTCACTGTACTCCTGACTCTCGAAGTCCACGACTAGCTCCTTGAAGTGCAGTTTGGCATTCGTTTGCACCCGTGAACATGTGCACATGACACGACTTGTCGTGCCAAGGTATTACTACCAATCGCTATCACTTTGCAAGACCGGCTCTGAGTACAGTCGAGGGTGACATGTCTTGATGGAGATGCCCGCTGTGCAGCCTGAAGTTGGAGGTGACACGATGATCGAAACTCTCCATACTTTGTATGAGGCACGCAAGTCGGAACCCAGCAGTTGGAGTAAACAGTGATGCCTTTGAGAGCCAACGATGGTCGGTCCCTAGATTCTGCTAGATGACACGCTGGTGCCACTTTCCAGGTTCACTTTTGCTTTCCTTTAGCTTGTTGCGTGAACTTCCAATTTTTTGTTTCGTGTTTTCGTTAAGCAGTCGCCAACCATCTCTGATCTTCCTTATACGCCTCCAGTGCAGATTGTGCTCATGGCCAAGCTGGAGATTGCCGTCTTCATCCTGGCTGCAGGAGTACACTCGTTGACTTGATTTCTGCCTGTGCGCATTCCTCGCTGGTGTTGAAGGCCTTCACTTTCTCTTGTTCAGCAACTTGGCGCTCCGGCGTTCTCAGTCCAAGTGGCACGCTCAGACTGGCGGGCATGTCGAAAGCGGCAACCACATCTCTGAACCACGGCAGCTGGCACAAAGGTGATAAGTAGATATAAGTAGTGTATTGTAGCATTGCCGCAGCTGGCTTTGTGAGGCCAAAGGGCAAGTCCAAGCTAGATGATGCAGGTGCGAAAGATCATGAAAGCACTGCAAACCATTGCTTGATATTACTTGCCTTTTGCAGCATTGTCACTGCTATTGGCATTTAGTCTATTCTGGTACTGTCTGGTTTCCGCGCAGTACACTTTTGTGCAAAGGCGATGGACCGACAGGGGATGCATTCAATTCGTTCGCTTCGAAGCCGTCAGAGAAGTCGACTTCTCCATCTGCATCTATCCAGCGGGCTATCAAGCCACTGCTGCGTCGGGCTCATAGTTGTTACGGGGTGTTGCTAGCAGCTGCTAGCATTAACTGGCGGCTTTTGGATCCGTGTTGGAATGGCCGCTGTCATTGTTATATTCTTGCTTCGCGTTAGAGTTCACTTAATTTTGAGGTGTGGGTGCAAAGGAGGCCACCCTAAAGGACGAAATCCGCCGCACACTGGATTCACTCAAGGCCATTCCCTGTGGCCTTCACTTCAGTGGGAGTGGACAAGTCTTCGCTGACAGTGGCAGGTTCCTGACACGGCGCATGAGGAAGTCCTGGCTGATGTACTGGACGGTGGGAAACAACAAAACGGCGACAGTCAGTTTTACTTATCTAGCTTGTTGAGATCCAGGCCTTGGTCGTCATGCCGAAGCCGAGCTGCTTGCAGCTGCATCGGCCTCAAGCCCTGGTATTCCGAAGCCTTCGAGCGTCTGTTCGCTGCAGGTCCGCTCACTGCTTCCCAAAGTAACAACCTGGAGAATGGCCGAGCACCTCCTCCGCCCGCCTCTTGGCTGCCACATTGTAATACACCTCGCACGGCTATTTGCAGAGGCTTCCTCGGCGCTCGGGCACCTGGCGACGTCGAAGCCCTCTTGGCAGAGGCACAACCGCCAATTTCGGACTTCGCTTGATCCATTGTAAAGTGGAACATTAGCGAGGTTCTATCTCAATTTATCTTGCTGGTTTTGTGCTTTGCGCGTGTCAGGTCGAGTCGCACTGTGATGCCAAAGAGACACTTCCTCACGGTGTTGCGGTGCGAGCCTTGGATCTCTCCCCCAAATCCTAGACTCTGTGCTTAAGCCTCGATCCCTAGACTCAGCCTAGATCACAAATGTCAAGCTTTGTGGCTGACATGCGATCAGGCACCAAAGGTGCAATCCCCTAAGTGAATTCTTGGGAAACTTGGCTTGCGAGCTTTGAAGCAGCAGGTTTCCTGTCACCAAGCCTTTCACCGCATCCTTGATGGAGTCGTGAAGACAGACGTTGATCGTTGCTGGGTGCAGGTCTTACTGTGGGGTTGTTATTGAGTCTTTATGCATCAGATACTTTGGATACGCGTACTGTAACAGTCAGTGGCCAAGGATGTGCTGAAACGAATGGAGGCCTGTGGCATGCTGCATTCAAGTGCGCATGAGAGAGGCTTCCGCTGCCTTCTTCCACTGCCTTAGTGAGGCAATTGGCCTGTCCCCGAACAACGTCACGTGCTCCATTCTGCTCAAGGGCGTTCAGAAGGGAATGCAGGAACATATGGCACAAGCCGAGCATGTCATAGGCCGCTTTGTCAATATCCATCGTTGGTCAAAGCTTCGCAAGGACGGGTACTTGCAGAAGGTGATGAAGATCATTGACTCGCGTGAAGTCAAAGAGATGGACGAGGCTGTGGATATCGCATCACTAAACCGAGTTTGGGTGCAACCTGTTGCAGAATGTGCCATGGCCTCGGCAGGTCTTGCTGGGATCCCTGTACGAAGCCTGCATCCGTTGCGGTCAAGCACCTCGGGTTTACGTCCTGATTCAGCTTTATTTACTCGGCTTGCTCTGGATACGAAAATCCGGGTTCATGAGGGCGCTGGAGTTTGGTACAGTTACAGTATGGCTCGTCTTGCAATGCCTTGTGCAAGTCAACAGTTGCTCAAAGGTCCAGTACCTGCTGAACTACGTCAAGCGCCTCCGTGAGGAAAGCGGCTTTGTCCAGGTGTCTGTGGTTGCAGCTGGGGGGGGGGGATAGCTGCGCTGTGCAGCCGGGATAGCTGCCTGGTGCTGCCTGCCTCTACCTGCTCATTCTCTCGCCTCGGCTCTGGCATATCCAGCTGCATGCTGTAGGTCCGAAGCGCGCACACTGTGGGCTCCATCATTCGCGCCTACGGTGCAGCAGAGGACCTTCAGACGACCTTCTAAAACATTGCTTATTGATGTGTAGTGTAGACACTTGTGTTCGAAGTGACGACTCTAGCGAGCTCTCCTTACTCCATGTTATCTCTCGAATGTGATGTAGGTATTAATATGATCCCTGTTGTGATCCCTGTTGGCGGTTTGATGGTATCCCCCCTCCCCACCCCCTAAACCCTAAACCTTAAACCCGAAACCCTCAACCCACACCTTTGGGGAGGATCACAAGGTGGACGGAGGTTGCACCATTGGGGGGGGGGGGGGAGGGGGACCGGGCGCGCTCTGATCACATATCCGCGGCCATTTGCATTTACTCCAAGATCCGTCGAGGTGTAGCGGGCACAACACCACGTGCTCGCTGCACGATCAACCGTATCATCCTGCGCCCGATCACTTTGTGTCAGTAGGCCTTGTGCCTTTCTTGAACGCGAATCTGGCCAAACAGTATCTGTTTGGGGCTACGACCACGATGATGCCTATGGACAATTGCGACAAGCCACAGGTTGCATATGTGTTTTTTTGATGTTCCACAGACCGACACTTTGGAGCCATTACGTACTCCTTTTCGGGTCCACTGCCTGGAGATGTCTTAGTTAGTCTTAACGCTACGCGACCCGCCTCGGCCCGGCCTAGCGCATCCGCGTGAGCATGGTGTCTCCGCAGTGCCCAAGTCGCTGGAGGCTCAAGGTTCAAGGTTCAGGGTTTAGGCGACGCCCACACCAGCCGAGCCGCCCCTCAAGCAAAAACGGGGCAGGGGAGGAGGGGGGCAGGGGGGAGGGCAGGGGGGGGGGCAGGGGGGGCAGGGGGGGGGCAGGGGGGCAGTGGTGGGGGGTGGGGGGGGTAGGGGGGGGGCAGGGGGGGCAGGGGGGGGGGGAGCAAGGCAAAAAAAGGGGCCAACATGTGGCTTTGGGTTTGGGGGGGGTGCCTGTTCTCACAACCTATACACCTTCGGCCCGAGGCCTCGGCGGATTACGCTAAATCGACGATTCTGGATGCATGTCATCAGCTAGCGACCTCAACTCCATGATGGAGTTCTTCATGAAGAAGTCCAAACGACAAACGCCTGCAACCCAACGTCACACGCGAAGGGTGCTGATATCGTCGGACGAGGAATCCATCCACCTCCACCTTGTCCAAAACGAGTACATCAGATTCCTTGAAACTTGAATATCTTGAGCTGGCGAAGGCCGGCATTTGCAATTTCCTCACTGGTCGACTGTTTGGGAGGGTTGGCTGGGCGCCGCAAAGGCGACTTCTGTTCGAGCCAACGTGTTCACCGATCGAGAAGTTGGGCGGGCGCCGCAAAGCGACCAGGAGCGCAGACATCACCCTCAGAGACATCGCGCGACACTGGCGACCTGTGTCCATCCCGTGGAACTCGGTTCTCCGTCACTTACACGGACGCCGACTGCAAACTCGATAAAGAGGTCTTCCGCCCCGGCGACGTTGACCAATCCAGTCGGGACCCGGGACGCCTCTACATCGATTGCCATCATTATGCTTCAAAGACGGCAACCCACGACATGCGGCTTAGTTCTAAGATTGCTCAAACGATTCTCCGTGAACCAAGCTTTCATTTACCTCCTTGAAGCACACGTACCAATCTTGGCACCGATCATCTTCGATCCTTACCTACGCGCGTCTTAAATCAACCCCTGAACTGAACTGCTTTGTCTCAGCCAATCGGACATGGCATAGTCGACGGACGAGGTTTTCGACACAGATTGAAACGCATACCAACTAAAGCTAGCATATGACGGCGGAAGCTGTTGGGGTTAAACTTCGTGCGCATTGCACTGGCAAGGGCTTTGCTTCAAGCATCTGTTGTCGCTATCGATGCATCCCAGACTCTGGCTGTCAAACTTGTTTTCGACAGGATTTGGATGGTGTTTGGGCTACCTGGAATGAGATGAAAAGGAAGCAAATCCAGCCAACCAGAATCACTCTGGGTTGCATGGTTGAGGCGCAGCTTCCAGCTTCGAAAAATGTCAAAGTGGCCAATGTCCCTGAATTCAGGCGCTGGCTTCCAACAACGATGCTGAAGGCTACCTTGAGCGCCCTCACATGTGATCCTTGTCACTTGCCATGAGCGCTGGCGTCAAACATACTGATTTGTGATATTCTTGAGAGGTGCGTACGAGATCATTCAGCAGGCCGGGAATCCGGCAGTGTGTGAAACAGCGTCAGTCGAGAGCCTCCACAGCTTTTAGAGAACACATACTCCTTGTATGGCTATAGCCGTACAGTTGCCATTCATGTTGGCGTAGCCATCGGCGTCGGCGTAGCCCATGTTGAGATTTTATCAGAACACGTTGAAGCAGAAGCCTTGTCACATCTTGACCCTGCGCAAATGCCTTTGCCATTCTTTGCTGCAGCCAAACCTCAATTTTCTTGAGCCAAGAAGTTGGGAGATCGTTTGCTGAGAGACGCTTGCGTGCCACCATCGGTTACTTCAGCAGAAGAATTGGAGTACGGAAGCTGCAACGTCTGTTTCCACCAGGCACTTGCGGATCCGGAAACCGCGACCTTGGTCAATGCAGCGCTTTGTCAGAAGTTTTGGGTCAACAGCAGGCTGTTCATGTGCTTGCAGCAGACAGCAGGTGACTTACAGCTCTGTGCTCAAGAGCTTCAATCACCAGAAGCGCTTTCATCGCGTGTGGGAGGTCTACGAGGAGCATACGCCCTCTAATGTTATGAGAAAATGTGTGCTTGTGGCAGACGGCTCCGATTCGCCACGACAGAGTTGCATACCACCGGGACAGAGTTCCGAGGTTCAGCATAACGAGCTGTCGAGACATGTCCAGAAGCAGCCTTGACAGATATTCGAGCACAACATACAGATCTTCGCAAACATAGATAAATGAGCAGGACAGGGTTTTGATCACGCAAGAAATGGCAGGAGATGATAAAGCAGAAAGTTGAGTTCTCGGTGACGACGTACAATGCCCTCCTGGATGTGGCGGTCTCAGGCTGTCTCTGACGCTGTGCAGATCTGTGCAGTGCATGGGGCTACCTATGTTGTTTCGAACGGACTTCGCCTGGCAATAGATTCAAGAGAAGGGAGCTGCAGGAAGTATTCCTCCCTGGGACGCTGAGGGGGCGGGGGGCAGGGGCGAGGGATGTGAGGTCACTAGTGAGATAACACAGGGAACAATGGTGGCGAAATTCAGTATGCTGACACAAATGTAGGACGCCACGGGACAGCCTGGTAGACGGAAAGCCAAGTACTTATGGTGCAAGTAGCAGACCACAGGGAACTTGTTGGGAACACATGGTGTAACCTGGTTCGGGAGGCCCGCGAGTCACTCTCCGTTTTGTTTTTTCATGTGTCGAATTCGCCTCTCTTCCTCTCTCTTCTTCTCTTCTCTTCTCTCTTCCTCTCTCTTCCTCTCTCTTCCTCTCTCTTCCTCTCTCTTCCTCTATCTTCCTTTGTCTTCCTCCTCCGAGAGTTTGAGCTTTTCAAGTGGACATCAAGGTCTGTGCAAGGAGTGGCGAGATCAGCCGGGCCGAACCGCTGCTGAAGGAGCTGGGAAATGCCGCAAGAAAGCCTCTTAGAGAGAGTGAGAGAGTCCAACACACCTAAAATCACACGCCTTGTTATCCATTTTGGTGCCGAGGATTTGAACAAAACGGGTCAAATTAGAGTGTGCGCAAATGCAGTGTGCTACTGCAGTACCGTACCACATCTTCGTGACACAGAGTAGGAGTGCACGGTACCTACGCGGGAGCACAATGTGGCCAGAGTGTTGCCGCGACACGAAAGACACATCATAACACGTTGCTTGCTACGTTTTGGACGCCGTCTGACGCCCGCCCGAGAGCGATGCGGGCAGGCGTTCGCGATTTGGAATGTGCAAAGCGCCTAAGCGAAAGGCACGAAGCTAGAACAAGAATCCGTCCAGTTTAGACTCAGTGCATCAAAGTTTGAATTGTTTATAAGTTTAGTAAGATCGACTTTTGATTTCAATGATAGTTTCAACATGTTTTAAAGTCCCAAATCCCAATGCCTCCCAACACCTCCCAACCGTGTTCAGAGGCTTTCCGGCGTGGCCAGTCATTCCGGCCATTTTTCATTTCAAGTTAAATGCCGACGCATTTTAAACGTTCAATCATGTTCAATCCGTAAAGTGCTCAATCGCAGAAACGTAACAACATCTCAAAGTTTTACTTGTTCAGGTCTTCCAAGACATTGAGTCAGAAAACCCACATGCCAAATCACTTCGACTTATTCGCCATTTTTTGTGCGAACAACATTAAAAGTTTAGAGTTTCAAGCTCACTCCCCGGAAGTCTCAAAGCCTGAACAGAAGTTATTGAATATTCCCATCATTCTCCCTACCTTAACCTAAAGCCTAAACACTTCTATCCTCGTGTTTGTGGCATCATCAAAAAGGATGAAGCAAAGGATGAAGCAAAGCATGTTTTAACTGTTGAAACACTTTACCTTGTATTCAACTTTTCAGTTTTAAACAACATGTCCAAGCCTGAATTTGAAGGCACCCCCAGAAGCCAGAAGGCCAGTTCACGAGTGCGAATTTCGCGGGCATGTATGGAAGTGTGTGGAAGCTAAGCAGCACAACGTTTCTGCACACAGCACGTCGCGCAAACGACATCAAACAACCGACGGTTTCTTTGGTTTGTGTTGTCTAAGTGCGGTTCTTGGTCTGTGTTCGCACGTGGAAATTGTTGCACGCGCGGACTTGTTGCGACCCCCTGCCTGGGTGTTCGTATGGGCGTGGCACGCAGGCCGCGACGTTGCATACCCCCAGCGGCAGTCTACCAAAATGGCATTTTCCGGGTCCAAAACCATCCAAGACCGAGGCGCATCACTAAATTGCAGCAGCAAGCGGGACCCGAGCTTCCATTGTCACTGTAACCTCTGATCTATCTAAGGTCTTTGACCAAGAGTCTCCCAATTCGCAAGCAGGGTTAGGTCTCGCGACATGTCTTGCTTGTGCTGACGTGTTCTTATGGTAGCAGTGGAAGGCCTTCCGTGCAGTTTGCCGACGATGGTATTAAGTATTAACTGCGCGACGCTCGTGCGATCCCGTATGTTATGCATCGAAGATTTACCAAACTCCGCTCGCCTCCAGAGGACATGGCTGATCAGGGCGTGTCACCCAACATCATCACGTACGGCACAGCTGCTCGTATGCACCAGCATTGCCGTGGGTTGCAATTTGCCATTGCTGCTGTACTGTGTTTTGACCCCGCAGTTCGGCTTATTATTGGAACCACGAGAACGAAGTCATAAGGAAAAGCAGGGTGGGCTGACGGTATATACTCCTGGAAGTTCTGCTTTTGAGTCGATAGTTCGCTTGCAGTGCCTACTACGACTTGCGAAATATTCTGCGAGCGTCCGAATGTTTAAGCATTCTCAAAGGACTAAGTTGACAGATCGACATTTGGAAGCCTTCTGTTCAGAAATAGCAGGTTTTCTGGACATCGCGGGCTGGGCACTGCCAGCATACTAGAGACCACCGGCTTAGGAAATGTGGGTCCTGTACACCGAGCTGAGCCTAAGAGCCTATGCCTCCAACTCCCAAACGCTTCCTCACGCGTTGGTTCCCCTTCTCCCTTGGACACAAGCCAGAAGAATCACAGTACTGGTAACCATACAGAAAGGGCTGGGCATCCTTTGCATTCTGATGGTTTTAGGACGTTTGAGAAAAGGAATCCCTTACCTGGAGGTGGGATTGATGGTGTTTTCGGTTTTTGTGTTTATTAGATCAATATGGCCCGTATTGATTTTGGAAGTTTGTTGAGAAGTCAGTCGCATCTCAGAGCATGGGGCGGAATGGTGAGCCTGTAGAGTGGCCGACGCTAGGACAAGGGATTTCGTTCCTGAGGCTCACGCCCACAGGAGAAAGACAAAGTAAAGCAAAGATTTTGGCCGGGACCGGGGGTTTCCTCGATCACCCCGGCTCCTCCTGAAGAGTCGAAAACAAGAATAAAGAAGAGGAGGGAAGAGTGCAGAGGAGTAGCCTGAAGCTACTGAACTCGTCTCGACAGGGCCAGGGTAGTGCTGAGTGTGCCCAAGTCGCAAACCTGGACTGGGGGGGGGGGGGCAAAGTTGTCCAAAAGTCCAGGCATGCGGGTCCCGGATACGGTTCGGAGTGGGTGTCTTTCGGTCCGCCATCCAAGTACTAAGCTCCCAACACTAAGAGGGGGACCTTGCAGGGCACTTGGGGGTCGCAATTCCTGGCGGGGTCGAGTATTCCGTGCCGATCTGTGAACCTTGCATGTTGTTTCCACACGTCTTGTTTTCCGGCCGATGCGCAGGCCCTGCGGAGACTCGGGGAATAATGCAGCAGCGTGTGTCATATCCTGGCGCGCGGACTGCACAGGTCTCCCCCTTCATGCCCCAAGTAAAGAAACAGAACTGTAGTGAGTGGTGGTGGTTTGCGGGGGGAACTCCACACAGTCTGGGCACAACCCTCGCTGCGAAATCTCACCGAGACTGGACTTGGTCTGGGCGCGCCCAGTGCGCGGGGGGCCCTCCTGGGCTCCTCAAGCCCCGTAGTAGAAAAAGAAGAAGAAGGAGAAGAAGAAGAAGCAGAAGAAGAAGAAGAAGAAGAAGAAGAAGAAGAAGAAGAAGAAGAAGAAGAAGAAGAAGAAGAAGAAGAAGAAGAAGAAGAAGAAGAAGAGGAAGAACAAGAAGAAGACGAAGAAGAAGAAGAAGTGACATCACTACATATTGTGTATCCTGGCTGTGGAAGCAATCGAGCCCGACCGACGCATCTGAATCGTTCGGTTTAGGCTTGGATTCGGGCCGTCTCTTGAATCGACTGGGTTGCCTTGACAAGCTTTCCCAGGAGTCAGCACCGAAGAGTGCAAAACATATTTGCAGAGAAAAAGCTGTGCATTTTACGCTTGATTTTGCTCGCGAGTCTACTTCACTCGGCGTCTCGCGTTTCCGCACGGTCGCTTCCCCCTTACCATCCATGCTAAACTTCCTAAGCATTCTCATTTGCTTGATTCTGCTAGGTCATCAAGGCGTACTGCTCTGCAAACCGGTTGGACCAGGCAAAGCCGCATCAATTCAGTGAAGGCCGAAACCTGCTTACATGTTCTCACCGTGTCGAGGCATTCGCAGTCTTGGAAGAGATGCAGAAGAACACATCGCTTGGGCCTTGCCCCGCGAGGACGCAAGTGGCGCCTGCAGAACTGCAGAAGCATTGCTGCACTCAGGTTACATCCCGATGAGGTGACCTACAACACGCTTCTCGATGGCTGTGCCCGCTACGGACTCTTCGATCGTGGTTTGGACAGGGTTCTCAAAGTATCACGAGAAAGTAGCGCCGTGAAGCCAACAGCATGGTGTGCACATTTCTGCATTTGTCATGTGTGCAGGAAGTCCTTGCCGACATGCGCAGGGCAGGTGTGCCTCCGAGCAACTACACGCTGTCCGTGATTGCCAAACTTGCGAACCGCAGCAAGAAGCCGAAGAAGGCCTTCGAGATGGTGGATGGTTTGCGGAAAGAGTTTGGACTCAAGCTGAACATGCATGTCTACAACAACCTCATCCACGCAGCAACGTGTGACAGCAACATGATGAAAGCGCAAGAAGTCTTCGGCACTATGCTGGAGGAGCGTGTCCGCCCAGATGGACGCACCTACACTCTGCTGCTCAGGTTCTGCATCACTCAAAAGGCAGCTTTGCCTGCCATGGCGCTGCTAAAGACTGCCTTCGGGTTGAAGCATCAGAAGGATGAACTGGTGAAGACATCTGGCAGCGAGGATTGCTTACATCCATTGCTGGTCAAAGCCCTTGTGCGCTCGTGCCATTGGGCAGCCGCACCCCTCCGTGGCAATGCTGCATTGCAGGAAGAGGTCATTCAGGACTCCTTTGACTTCCTTTCGCGCAGCGATTTGTCTGGCATGCCCAAGCTTCTGGCAGAGGTGCAGAAGCTGCTTCCGTCATTCAAGCTCCCGAAGTCCACCACGAGCAGGATCTTCGCAAAGCATTGAGACGTGTTGAGCAGCTTTTGTGACATGTCCGGACACGAGACACGCCAAGTTGCAAAAGACGCTTCGCATGATGACATGTGATTGAACATGTGCAATTTGGTTTCCAAGTATTTGCCACCATTGCAGAGCATCCTCAGGCTTTCAGAGACGGTGCAGTCGGCATCCCGCAGGCGCAGATTTGAGTGCACGTAATGACGTAATGACTTCGACATCTTTGACATAAAACTGGCCCCGAGACTGTGGATCTAGTATCCAAGTTGTCACTTCAACGTTCCAGTCGTCAGGAGCCAATGCTGGCCAAACATTGGCTACTAGCGGCTGCTGCTCATGGTCACAAGGACCTTGCAGCTTCCTGAATGAAAAGGACATGTGTGCCATATGTTTTCAATCAGCGCGTTCAGGAGCTTCCAAGGTCAGATATGCTACCAAGGTTTTAGATGGTTTGGGTTCATATGCTGCTGAAGTCTCTAGTCATGAAGATGTCTTTACAAACATGCGTTGTTGCCCCTTTCAGGAGGCATTGGACCAAGTGAATTGGGAAGCAACGTCGCGACTGCCCGTGGAGAGACGGTGTCTTGGTGAAATGCCAGGTCAACAGAGCAAAACAGCGCTGCGCATGCTTGATGGTGCATTGTCAGCAGCCCGCCGTGCCCGCGAAACGTACGATCGTGTTCACCACGGCTGAGGTGGATCCACGTGATGGAGAACCGGGGATGGATTTGACCTGAGTCACTTTGCAGAAAAGACACTGTCAAGAGACATCGGCTGTCCTCAGCCCGCTTTCACGCAAGTTCGATCAGCGATAGCACTGCCCAACAGCGTCTGCTGCGAGAGGAGTTGCATGGCATTACTCGCTTCATGGTTCGAAGCATTCCTGCTGTAGAGTAGATGCGAATAATGACGCAGGCATGCCATTTGTGATGTGTCATTTTTCGTCATTGCATTGCACATGTGAGAGATTCTGGAGAGCAGTGCCGCTAGTGCGTCAACACACGTCATCAATGTACGACGACATTCTCGATCACCACGAGTAGATGGGGCAAGCTTCGCTTGCAACCTTTTATGCTCCTTTTCTGCAAAAGGGGCCGCAGTACGGAGCGCATGTAGTAGTCGGTTGCTGTAGGTGCGACTTGCGTGAATTTCTTTCCCGGACAGGCTTGCGGGACTTCACTCATGCTGTAGAAGATTCCATGTAACAAGGGCCACGCCATGCAACTGTCGTCGTAAAAGCCGTAAAAGTCTTCAGATGTTTACATGTTTTCACGAATCACGCTGTTCATAAATTGTAAGTGCATGACGAGGTTGTGTTTGCCATCCTCACCATTTTCCTGAACACCGAGCCGCTCCCACAAAGGTTGTAATGGGCGTGCGCTCTAACCAATGCAGAGTCAGCATGGTGGATGATTGCGTTTGTCTGTGGTACGACAGTGATCAAGGTGCTGAGTCGGTTTTGCGGAGTTGGCAGAACTCAGGTTCATTGGCACTTGGAATGCGAATGCTATCTATCGCACAATTTCCACGGCGAGGAGCTTAGCACCCGTTTGCACCGTGGCACTGCGTGGCGTTGGCTTGGCTGTGTGAGGCTTCAGACTGGGTGTGGGTGCGAGGTGGTGGGTGTGGGGTGGGTGTGGGGTGCTCGCGTTTGGATACGTCCATGTTCCTCCCTCCCCACAACACTTCAGAGTTTTTGTACCTAAAACATACAGCAGAAGAATGCTTTATTTTTTTCTGCAACCAGACGCACTGTCACAAATGTTCATGTCTTTTGCAAACATGCCCAACGTACATGTTAGTGAAAGATCCCAACAGTTGCTGCGGCGTCTGCGCAACAAGCCTGTAGCAAGCATTGTGTTGCTGACTACAGCCAGCTCGGTGCTGGGTGGCATAAGCGCAGTCGTGCACAAGGCTGGTTTACTCATGAGTGTGGTCATTTGCGTCGTGTCTACCGGATCCCCGAAGTAAGCAACTTTGGACGCACCTTGCCCAGCTGTACCCGCGTCAGCTTGCCCGCTGCTGCGCAAACGCACTTGTGCATGCCGCTGGTGCTATTGATACTTTTTTATCTGCGAGCAAGATCTATTGAATGACTTCGACGCTGATTCTGCGCCTGCGGTTTTTTGTACGAAATAAATACAACCGGCAAGCGTTTGCGCATGATCGCAACAGGCATGAACACATGCGACGGCGTTGCGGGAAAACGCTGAACATTCTAGTGTTTCAGGCTTGCTCGCAAATGGCGTGAACGCTTGTGATTCTTTCCAGAAACGTCAACCATTTTCTGCAGTATGCTGCATAAGAGGCGCAAGCTTTGTAAATACCAGCGTTTGTGCATGTCGCAAAAGGCATGAACACATGTGACAGCGCGTCTTGCTTCAGAAATGAAAATACAAATAGTCCAAAAACTCAATGGGGGTCCAAGACTGCAGTTTGTTCACTCCAAAGCCCGCGAAACCCGCCGCGAACCACGACAATGTTGAGCTTTTGATGCTGAAGTGAGCGGTGTCAACTTGGCCCGAAAGCCTGTGCCATGCGTGCAGCTTACACTCAGCAGTGCCTGCTGCGTTCGTGCCTTGACATCTCTGCTTCCATCGGAGTCTCAGTTCAATTCCCAACTGCGATACTGTTGCTGACCTGTGCTTGATCCGAGAGTTTCGGGGTGTGGACTGGAGGCTTGTGGTGCTCAGGTATGCTCGGGTGTTTCTTTGTGTGTGTGTGTGGGGCAAGGAGGGGCAAGGGGACAGACCTTGAGAAGGTCAGTACATTTGGAACAGTTCAGTTTTTGCACGGCGGTGAATGACCTTGTTGTGAAGGCACTCGGCGCATATCCCTTTCACCATCCAGAGCGTGAAAGCAATACCACTTCGACAAGGCTCAGAACTGCACACTGTGCATGACTTTATTTCTGAGAGCGAGAAGATGAGAGAAGTGTATAATGAGAAATATTCTGGAAAGTTTTCTGTGATGTTATGCTCCCAGTCTACACCTCCGGCTGAGGAGGCTCAGCGAAGTCTTAACATAGCTTCGGCCCAAAATGGGAGGGCTTGGGTGGCGAAATGGGGAGCTTTCCTGCATTTTCTGATACAAGCGCTTGAACAGGGTCAGAATGGTAGACTTGCACCTGCCCAGCATCGGATGCATCAGACTCTGTGTGCAGAACAGTGTACCACGCTTGTATCACATGCTCGTTTAATTGCACAGCGGCGTGCTGTGGGTTATGGTTTTCTTGTTGACGTGGCATATATTATCGCCATCCACCACTTTCACACTGTTCGGCATGCCTTGGCGTTTGCGGGTGCCCCATCAACACACGCAACGAAACTTATTGACAGCCTTGACAGCCTCGAGTCTCGAGGGGCCACTTGCAAGCGACAAAGGCTTAGCAGCTGACTGCAGATTGAGGATGAGGCCGTAGCAACTACTAGCTGTGCTCCTGCGCCAGGCACATAGACCATGTCCAGGCCGCGCCGTCTCTCAAGTCTCTAAACTCATGGTTGTTTCTGGTGCAATTGCCCCACTGGCAGGACCCAGAGCAGGTCTATCATTGGCTCAAGGCAGAGCGCAGGGTGCAGCTGTGGTACAGCTCAACTCAGCTCAACTTTAGTCCAGTTGCACTGCGTTGTGGCTGGAGATCGTGCTGGCAGTGTTTGCAGAGATGATAATAGATGGGTAGTTCCAACATCCAAAGGCCGATCCTCATGAAGGGATTAAGACTCGTACCCTAAGGCTGTACCCCTTAAAGTTTCCCTTAGTAAAGTACACACCTAATATGGCCCTTATATGGTGAGTTTTTAACAGGCTCCCCAAACCCAAGTGTGCCACCTTAGGTGACACATCGCTGCCCTGTAAGCCGTGAGCAAGACAAGTTTTCTCCTTGTCTTCAGTGGCACTCGCACTCCTACGGTCCATCTGGTTGTATCATGTTGTATGCGTGGCACATGGTTGACTGGAGTCTTGGTGAGCTGAGCCTGTTTTGCCCACAGACTTCTTTGAAGCCGGTGATCTTCCGCGAGCAAGAGCCAATGGCGCCACCTCCTTGAAGAGATTCTTGGGGGGCAGGGAAGATGCGCATGGCAACATCGCAACTCTTTGTAGCCTGAGGAGCCGAGACGGATGGGGAAATTGGTCCTCTTGGATGCTCAGCTTCAAGCTATGCTTTCATCCAGTTATGCTACATGCAAAATACGCCCACGCAGGAACTATAGCCTCACTCCAGCCACCGTTGGCAGCTTCAATCGAATTGTTCTGGCCCGGCGCTTTTCATGTGATTGCAGTTGGGCAAAGAGCATCCAAACCCCTTGCTCTGAGGCGTTAAGGGGTTCTAGCACGAAGGCGAGTCGTTTGATTTGCAGTCGGCTCCGCCGGAGTGCTGCAAAGAATTCCCCGTCCGCCCCATGCCTGGGCCGTTGACGACCACAGGTGCTCACCCCTCTTTTGGGTGTTGGGAGAGGGGGTGGGGGGGCGAGGGGGCGGGGGTAGAGGACCGCTGGCAGGGGTGCAGGCATGAGGGAACGGCTGAAACAACAAATGTGGGCCTGAGACTTCACCACCGCCAGGGGCGCCGGCCTTGCAGGGGCGGCGGTTTTTGTAAAGTTGTACAGTAAGTAAGACTCCACATTGTCTGGAGCAGACTCCACAAGGCTTGAAGGAAACCAACAGGTATCCTGTTTGGGTCTACGTCAGCGCTATTTGAGGAGTTGATTGCGCGAGGCGCGGTTCACATTCAAGCGTTGGGCTATGGTGCCAACAGTGGGTCAGCTGGTGCCTTGGTGCGTCCCACGAGTCCGATGGGTTCCATCTTGCAGGCCTGATGTGCTCAGGTTTAGTCCGTCGACACCCAATCGACTTGCAGGCTGTGGATGTCCAAAGATGTAATTCAATGTAATGTAAAGGCAGGGACACAAAGCTTGGCACAAAGTGACTTAAACTCGGCTCTTTTCAAGCCAACCATGGCGAACCTTGAAAGGCTCTGCGCGGGATATAAGTCCCTTCACCAGAAGCGC